TAGCAAAGTTTAGCCAGGGGGGCCGATAGGGCATGAACAGGGAAAAGGGGGCACAAAGACATACTTTTCTTTCTTATTCTCATTTAAAATGTCGAGCTTTTAATAAATAATTATCTGAATCTTACACCCAAAGTTTTAATTCTGATGTAAAATGATATAGAAGTCACATTACTGTATATAGTAACTAGTTAAGTCTAATATACCCTAGTAAGCTATAGTACTTTTTCCTTTGGGAAGATACCATCTGTGCAGTCTGCAGTTCTGTTGAAGAAAGATGTTGAATCTATTTAATTATTCTTCTAACAAAAAGCAGCAAGATATTAAAAAAACTGTTTTATTGATTAAAAACACTATATCGGATTCATATCGGTATCGGCAGATATCCAAATTTATTATATCGGTATCGGACATAAAAGTGGTATCGTGCCATCTCTAGTATCAACAGTATGTCTTGGTTTTGCACATGATGAAATCTGTCTGAGGGTTTTTTTTTTTTTTTTTAAAAACAGCATATTTTTGTTAATTTAGTGATATTTTTTTTGTTTTTTGTTGATCTGCCATACAAAATAAATAATTCTATATTAGTCATTTAATTGTTTAAAATTTTATAAGCACTTTGTAGTGTGAATGAGCATAAATGTGGATACTGATTAATGCAGTTATAAATGCTGGCTAATCCATTCTAGTCTCATTTATTTGAGGGCAGCTTTAATGGCAATATTAGTAAATGGCCTGTATTTGTATAGCGCTTTACTAGTCTCTAAGGACCCCAAAGCGCTTTACACATTCAGTCATCCACCCATTCACACACTGGTGATGGCAAGCTACATTGTAGCCACAGCCACCCTGGGGTGCACTGACAGAGGCGAGGCTGCCGGACACTGGCGCCCCGGGCCCTCTGACCACCACCAGTAGGCAACAGGTGAAGTGTCTTGCCCAAGGACACAACTGTCCAAGCCGGGGCTCAAACCGGCAGCCTTCCGATTACAAGGCGACCTCCCAACTCTTGAGCCACGAAGGTAAGGCTCAAAAAATGTTAATATGAATCCCAGGAAAAGGTCCTCTCTGTAATATTCTAAAATTTATTATAACTGTAACAATCTGTCAGTGTGTGCAATAAAGAGCCTGGAAGTCATTTCTGCTGTGAGTCCTTTCTCTATACAATAGAGCTGTTGAAAGATGGCGAGGCAGCAGAGGGAGAAAGTGCCTCTACGCTCAGATATTGACTGATGTTCTCTGCAGTGTTAAACATAATAATCTGCTGCCGTGTTTTTCCTAATACAGCATGTATTAAAAGTCAGAAATAGCTCATGGAACAGAATATTTACTTGATGTGCAGCACTCTGACAAAACTACTGAAAAGCCTTGCTGCAGAGGAGCTAAGAGAGCTCACAGCATCTGCTGTGTGTGTGTGTGTGTGTGTGTGTAGTAGGCACAGCAATTGGATAAATGGGTCTTATTTTCTCACTCCACTCCGCTCTACGTCTGCTGAGTCAATAAACCAAAAGACTGCAAACTGCTAGAAGAGCCAGACTTAACACACTCAGCTCTTTATTAGAGCTAGAGCTCTCTGCAGGAGTCCAAGTCAGACCCTCACAGGGAGCCTGGCACCCTGGAACCCCATCAAACAATTTTGAGACACCCCAGAGGTCTGCTGCTGATCATTCAGAATAATCACAGCTAAAGTGAAATTACCACCGGTACTGCTGTCCAAAGTAAAGATGAAACACTGATACCCGACATTTTTTTCCAAGTTAAACTAAGTATCAGAAATCTAAAGTGTTTGGAATCAGAAGGAACATTTAACACTCAAGGACTGCAAATTGTTCAAGGTTTTCGTCGGTTGAATTGATAGCAATTTGAACAAACCTGACAAAACATGCAAACAAACAAAAATGCAGCACAAAGATGGAATTTAGTGTTCTGAAAGAGATTTATGAAGTTCACAGTATGCCTCCAAAACAACATATTAAATCTGCTTAACATTGTTATTTTGCTTTTCCTCCCTGTTACAATGTGCGCGCAGGGGGAGTGTAATTTATTGCCCAAATGCAGATGTTTTCCCACTGAGAAGCAACCTGATTGATCTGATAGCATCTGCCAGTTTCCAGTGAAGGCCTATGTTTAGATGAGAGCTGCTCATTGCTGAAAGGATCACCAGGGCTACACGAAGCATCAGATGTGGCAACAATGCCTGTTATGCTGTGCTCTGTTTTTGTACATTAAAATAAAGCAAAAGGGAGACATGCTGGTGACACGAGGATCAGGCAAATACAAAGCTGCAGCTGTCCACGTGAAGATCAAATGTCCATGTGAGAGAGGAAGAAACCTTTCATTGAGCAAGTGGCTTTGTCACCAGAAGAAGGAGCATCAGTCTCATTGTTCTCAAGCTTGTTACAATTTTCTGTTCTTCTACACTTTAGACAACAACTTAGGAGACGAGCACTCCACCAAAACTCTGGAAAAGGCCTGTGAGAAAGTTCTATAGCTCAGTCCTCGCTGAAATATTCCCCTTATCAGACTCCTTGAGAAGTTTTTCACAGACACTCAGTCTGAAAGGATGAAACCAACTGACTTCAGTGAGCTGTGACTTCTCTTTCAGAGTTATAATGAGCTGCAGTTGTACTGATATCTTGAGTAAACCACTGACTGGCCAGAATGACATAATGTATGTTGTTCTCAGCTGACTGCAGGTTTTATGTGCAACAAGTTAAAAAGATTTGAAACATGGAAAAAAAAAAACTATCTGCAATACACCATCAACTGCACTTTGATTTTAGTACAAATGACAAATGCTAACCCACTCAATAAGAATCAGTGTAAATAGAAACCATGAGGCATGTGAGGCCACATTCACACAGGCCCAGAGACTAATCAGCCAGAGAACAGAGCAACCTCTGGTCGCTGAGGAACAATGTGTGTCCTCTGACAAGTTGCTAAAGGTTGTTGGAGGTAGCTGTGGAACTGGTTTTTAAACCCCATTCAATAGGTCTAGAGCCTGGTTAGTGACCTGTGGTTACTAGGGTTACTAAGTGTACTCTGCAACTGGCTGGCATGTGGTTGCTGGAGGTTGCTGGTAGCCACTAGAGTGTAAAGAGGTATATGGTGCTGAATCAAAAACCGGCTCAGCTCACCAAGCAGAAAGTTTGAAAAATGCAACGCAAACTAAAACAGAAAGTTTGCCTACAAAGTTAAAGTTGCACCCAAGCCCCAGTGTTTTCTCTTTGTGTTGGTTGCAGTGTTAAGGCCCAACATTTTCTCTGCAGGTGATTGTTCTCAACATTCATAAAGCTAAATGCTCCATTCCTGCAGACACCTGGAAATTTCATGGAGGTTGCAGACGTAACTGTTGCAATCTGCTGACGAAAGCAAATACAGGGAGGTTTTGGTGCATTGGAGGAAACCTCCAGCAACCACTCGCCAACTATTCAGGGAATATGGATTTTTCTCTAGCAAGCCGAGGTTGCAAGGGGGTCACTGACCAGCCTCATTTGAGCCACTGTTTGTTCCAAACACAGATGTGTTAGCATGGCTACAGACTTTGCAGCCTAGTCTGATGGCAAGGCGAGAAATAATCACAAAATTGCTACAAATAAAGAGGTTTTTTTTTTTCTTTAAAGTTTGGACAACTTTAGTTTTAAAACTAAAAGACACATTTTTGTGCCTGTACCACTTAGGTTCTAATGAGTAAAAATATAAATAAGTCCTGAGTGTCTGAAGGCAGTTTCTATTGAAACTCCTGTCTGAAAGCACAGGGACAGCTGTGACTTGCGATTCATTGGGACATAAAGATTGCATGGTCATGGCTTTCTGTCCAGGCACAGGACTCAATATATTACATCTTGCAAGCATTTCACAAACTGCTGTGAAAATTTTTTTTGTACTATTTTATCTGTTTCCATCAGCTTTTTCACACGTATTTTGACAGTTGTGTGACGGTCAAAATACGTGTGAAACACTGCAGGAAATAATCAGCAGTAACAGTTTGCAGCAGTTGGAAAGGTTATCAGTGAGGTGCTTTTTGTTTTGTTTTTTTCTTAGAGAAAATGAGCAGTGACATGTTCATACATTATAGACAGAAGCCGGAACACTAATCTTATTTCCAGAAGTTAAAACAGAAAGTCGCAGTAAAAGACGGGAACTACAGCAGTGTGATTGACATGGACAGATGTCAGCTCCCTGATATATATTTTTTTGCAGGGGGGGATAAAAACTTGATGAAATGATGAGCTTCCAGCACCAACATCACACTTTTTAGTTCATGGAAAGAAGCAGCAGATTCAAGCTTCAAGGTATGTTGTGAAGAAGAACCCAGACTTACGTCAGATGCCATCATGCTCACTGACGTGCTTCAGAGCTGCACTCCTTCCAGCTGGAGGCTATGAGCTCCTCAGTCGTTATACTTCTCAGTGCAGCACTTGAATTGACCTCCAACGACATTTTAATGGCCTCCTTTAACACAGAGGAGATCCCGCCAAGGCCTGTTTTCTAACATCTGATTGCTACATAGAAGCAATCAGGCTTGATTTGCCGCCAACGGGAAACACATGGTCTGTTTTATTGCAGAGAAAACGTACACGGTGCCAGCTGAGCGTGAGTGGCTGCAGCTTATGGAGGAAAGCTGAAACCAGATGATAATGACTCAACTTACTTATCTGCGGGAATGAAGGCTTTTAAGCCAGACCGATAACAACCACCTACTGCATTGGTGACAATGCAAACAAAGTCAGTATGATTTTTATAGCAAGCATAAAAATCCTGAAGGGACGATGGAGGGAAAACACTGGAAAGCACAAACTATGAAGACACAATATGGCAACATTAATGAGGCGGAAGGAGATTGGGAACAAAAACCACATTTATGCACCTAGTCCTATGGTGAAGTTGTTTAATATATCAGTTTGAGCCACTCGAAGAACTAAAAGTGTGCGCACAGTAAAACAGTCCTTTGTTAGAGCTCGAATGTACACAAACACACACAAGCACACACTGATGTTTACCTGACTTTCCCACCCCGGCTCTGCCGAAGACGGCCAGCTTCACCTCCGGGCTTTTGGCCATGACAGCAGCTGTGACGAGAGAAGCTCAGCGAGCCAGTCAGTGATCTCCGAGGTCAGCCCCAAACATCCTCCATCCAGGAAGCAGCGTCTGAGGAGACGAGGTAATGCGTTTACGTTTAGCTCCACGAAACATTTCCACCATCAGAAGTGAGTCACAGAGAAAGTGTTCAAGGAAGCAAGCAGAAGTAGCAGACTATGACTGAATGTGATGAAAAGGAAATAAATAGTTTTAGCAAATAAAATGAAATAATTCATACCTCAGTGTCACATCACTAGTTGCAAATAAATATAAAAACCTGATTTTATGTGGACAAGGTTGCATAGATAACATGAAGATTGTGATGCTAGCAGCTCTTTTAAGAAGATGGCCACAAATTCAGGACCAAAGCATTTTCTCTCTTCCTTTTTTTTTTTTGCAATTTTTGGTACTGAAAGGATCAAGTTCAGTCTAAAAATGAGTTCATTGTGTACAGGTTAAAGAAAATATCAGTAGAAAGGCTGATTCACTTACTCAAGAAATGAATGAAACGATGTGAAAACATGTCAGCTCTCAGTGGAAAAGAATCATGCCAGATTTCTACACTGATATGGACTTTGTAATGTGTTAGAAATGAAAAGATGCCACATCGTTTGATGGAAATGAAAATGATCAACATGCAGAGAGAGGGCTGAATTCAAAAATCAAAGTGAAAGTGAAAAAAAGGAGATACCAGCTTTAAAACACTTTATTAATCCATCAGCAGTCACTGAGGATGAAATGCACACTGCAACCTTCCTGCAGCTGTCATCTGTCTATGGAGCTTTAATCATCTGAAGGTGATGGCCCTCACACACCTCTCACTGTACCTCCACAGGAGAGAACCGATACAAATCACAAACCCACAAATCAGTGAGTTTTCCATTTCCAACAACATAGTGAAGTGAATGTTGGACAGTCAAGTCCATTTTTTTTAGGCTGTTGATCTACCGAGGCTATGGTTTTTTATGTTGGTGCATGAAAAATGTGAAGTGAAAAAGACAGGAGAGAGAGGGGGAGAACACCGAGATCTAAAATCATCCATTCAAAAGAAAACACCAGTACAGCCAGATGAAACAGCCACACGCCCGTCTGTTTAATAAGAAAACAAGCAGCTGTGGCGCTGTCTCTCCTGGTAATTGACTCTAAATTTCTGGCCTGATCACTCTGTTTTTCTCCTGGATTCCACTCGGACCTTTAACCTGAGAACAAACAGATACTGACAAGGCTTTAATTCAAATCTTAGCTTGATGACTTCACAGCAATCCTGGGACAAACTAGCTGGAGACTGCTGTGTTTCCCATTAGCACCAATGCTGACAGAGAGAATGTAACACCCCAGGTCTATGTGGGGAGTCATGCTGTGTTTGGCTGGGCAGCTGCAGCTAAAGATAATTTTCATTTTTTCTCACTGCGCTGCAGTTTAGCGACGATGCGTGCAGAAAAACATACAGCTTAGTCACAAATCTACTTAGGAAGCAAAGTTGTCGACATTATCTGTTTGCAAATCCTTTATTCTAATGTGCTGCAGTGCAGAGGTGCAGCTTGTCAACCACAAGCCACAGTTAAAGGTGCAGTAGGTGGGAAGGGGCTACCTTTATTTTTCAGCCTGTCGGTCTTTGGACACTTCAACACATGGACGCTGAAGTAATCACTATTTCTGTATACCTGCCACCCGTGCAATGATACTCAAAGTAAGATCTTGGCTTGCTGTAGGAACCAAGATCTCCAGCTCTCACAGTCACCTGATGCCAGTGATCAGGAGGAGTGACGCCTCAGTTAATCCTGCTGTGTGTTAGTCAGCTTTGATACAACATGAGGTGAAAAAACTCTGGCAAGTGACAGTCTCCCCAGTTACTCAAAGGTCAGACTGTGCCATGCTCAGAGAAAGTGTAATAAGCCAAGAGCTACATCTCAGACTCTACGGGCCTCAGTCAGCATGTTGAATGTTAAAGTCCATGACAGTAGAATTAGAAAAACACTGAGCAAGTGTGGCTTTTTTGGAAGGTTTTACGGAACATGGGGTCAGAACATGTCAACACAGCTTAGGTTTGCAAAGTTCGATCTGAACAAATCATAAGACTTATGGATCAGTGGCGTTTGGACACATGAAACTAAAGTGGCAATAATTCAATTCAATTTTATTTATACAGCGTGAAATCACAGCAACAATCACCTCAAGGCGCTTTATATTGTAAGGTAGATGCTACAATAATACATACAGAGAAAAACCCAACAATCATATGACCCCCTATGAGCAAGCACTTTGGCGACAGTGGGAAGGAAAAACTCCCTTTTAACAGGAAGAAACCTCCGGCAGAACCAGGCTCAGGGAGGGGCGGGGCCATCTGCTGCGACGGGTTGGGGTGAGAGAAGGAAGATGGGATAAAGACATGCTGTGGAAGAGAGACAGAGGTTAATAACAGATATGATTCAATGCAGAGAGGTCTGTTAATACATAGTGAGTGAGAAAGGTGACTGGAAAGGAAAAACTCAATGCATCATGGGAATCCCCGGCAGCCTACGTCTATTGCAGCATAACTAAGGGAGGATTCAGGGTCACCTGGTCCAGCCCTAACTATATGCTTTAGCAAAAAGGAAAGTTTGAAGCCTAATCTTAAAAGTAGAGATTGTGTCTGTCTCCTGAATCCAAACTGGAAGCTGGTTCCACAGAAGAGGGGCCTGAAAACTGAAGGCTCTGCCTCCCATTCTACTTTTAAATACTCTAGGAACAACAAGTAGGCCTGCAGTGCGAGAGCGAAGTGCTCTAATAGGGTGATATGGTACTACAAGGTACTGCAATAATATTGCACAGCTCCACAATTAGCAAGAAACACAAAGATCTCATGTCAGGTGTCCAGCACGGTGGTGGAGGGGTGATGATTTGAGCTTGTTCTGCACCTACAAGACCTGGGCACCTTGCAGTCCCCGAGCCACCCACGAACTCCTCCGTACACCAAGAATACGAGAGTCAAATGTGTGGCCAACAGCTAAACCCTGGATCATGCAATACGACAATGATCCCAAGCAGAGCAGCAAATCTACAACAGAATGATGTTGAACAGGCAGATGTCAAGAGACAACAGTAATTTGTTCTGTGAATTATTTTTAAATGTACACTCTAATTTAACACCACATAACTTTGCCGTTCAATAATTAAGACAGCCATTTATAGCGTGCTGAAGTTTGTCAGCCAAGTTTTTGAACAGATTTATCGTCAGTCACCGTTGTGTACATTACATGAAGCACAGACTGGACTGGACTTCTCGCTCTTTGTTGGCTGAAATGAGCTACAGCAGGAAAATGAGAGAAAGCTGAAACCGGATCACACGTTCGTTTGCCCAGTTAAATAAAAGCTGTGCTTGGTTAATATGTTGCTGGCACTGACACACACCCAACTTCACACTGGCTGAAATTATTAAGTGGCCAGCATCCAGTTTTCTTCTCCTTTACTCCAGGCAGACGCTTAAACACACACATATGTTTTAAACTAACCTTTTCCCCTTCATAGCAACACACATATGTCTATATATGGTGTGACAGCGTGCCGCTCTGTGTGACCCAAGTGGAGATCGATCATCTGTCTACGTCTCCTACTCGGCGGGTGGTGTCACGGCAGCTGCCAGCATCTTTAAATATTGGTTTCGGTCATTGCTGATGTGGCTCCGATAACCAAACAGCACAGTCAAAGCAGTGAGCAAAACCGCTGCTGTAATAGCAATAATGACGTTGTGTTCTGTCCTCCCAGCTAAGTTTGTGGTGTTTGGCAGTTTCGAGGACAAAGATGAATGACTGAGTTTAACCCTGAGTGGCATTCTCCCACTGTTCAAGTTTGAAATGTGTCATTACATCTCCAACCAATATTAATATCACTGCCTCGGTGATGCAACCTTTATTTCCTGAGTTCTTAGAATGAATGAAACTGCCACATTTACACAGTCATTAAGGCTGGGTCTAAAATCAAGTCACAGACTCCCATGTCTTTAAGACAGAGGAAGCATGTTTACAACCTGGTTTAAAACAAACAGTATAGGGGTACATTTTTCACATGACCCACCCAATTAAATGCTATTAAGGCTTAAAGTTCTGATTAAGTGTGTGGCTGCTTTTAGAGACAGGCCAGTTCATCTTGTTTAGTCTTTGTTTTAAAGGACACTCTGAGCAGTTGGCTGGTTAGTTGCTCCAGTAAACAACGTGTCGACACAGCACTCACATCAAGGCTTTCAAACGGGACTTGACAAACCAGTGGGTGACACCACTGTAGCGACATCCATCTGTTTTGCCATCTATGTTGATAACGTGGTCGTCCTATGTATAGTAAATGGTGGAACCACAGTCTCTCTCCTCTGTCTATCCGACGCAGTAGGAAGCAAAAACGTGGCATTGAAGACGAGCGATCTAACCGAGGTTTTTTTTGTGAAACTGACAGCACGTACGCTTATCAGTGTAATCACAATCAAACGGCACTTAGATCCCACCTGTTAAACAAGCTCTGTAGAATACCAGATATGAAATAACACTAGAAACTTATTTTGGATACTCTGTTGCTCACAGGGTTTTACATAGTTCCACATATTTAAGTTGGGAGACTTTTTACAGTCTCATCGTGATCTCGCAGCAGGGATCTTTTGCATATTAGGTAAACACTATGATATGGAGCCATCAGATATGAAATGATACTAACAACCAAAAACAACTGCTGTCTGTTTACAGACTCCTTGCTTCCTTAGTTTGCTGTGTACCATAATATACCGCTCAAACACCGACATTTTTCCCATGGAGAGACTCACAAACCTCTACATGCTGTGTGCAACCACACCCTGCAGCGCAATGGCTGCCATTAGTTATCAGAATAAAACTCTTGGACCCGTTGTCAGAGCCCATGCCGGTGCAGTGGGTCCTGGATTCCTCGTGGTGCGCAACAATGCCCAGCTTCGTGTTCCTAGAGCAGAGGTAGGCAACTCCAGGCCTCGAGTGCCGGGGTCCTGCAGGTTTTAGATGTGTCCTTGATCCAGTACAGCTGATTCATCTTGATGCATTCTCAATCATGCAGGTAAGTAAATCTCCAAAAGT